ATTTCACACTCAGCAGGACAGTAGTACCTCCCCTGGGTGGTTGGTGTTATATCTTTTTATAAGGTGAAGAACTTTATCACCTCATTTAAATGTGATTTGACTCCGAGTGCCGACTGCTTTCCATGGTGGATGGATTACTGTGATCCTAGCCTTTGGCATTACTTCTGGGATGCCTTGCCTAAATGGCAGCAACGTGAAGATTAACAAGGTGCTACTCTGATATGTATACTCTGAATAGAGATACTGTGAATAAGACTAAAGAAAGATACTTTTCTGATAAGCAACAGGTCAAGATTTGAAGGAATGTGTCAGTTACTGGTTGCGAAAAGTTTTCAGATTACAGTTAGTAGCTAATTCAGTTATTGCAGAGCATCCCAAAGTATATGCTGCTCTTATCTGCCACCTGTCAAACATGAGAGCCAACCCAGAATGGTACAAGAACAATACAACAGCAATAAACAACATTGAAAAAATGGCAGAGGCAGCAAACAGAACAGCAAAGCTAATGATAGTAGGAGATTTTAACCATGAAGATACAAGCTGGGAGAACTAGAACCCAGATAAGGGTCCAGATATAGAGAAGTATGTTGCAAGAGTTGGTAATGCAGAATTAGTATAGTACTTGTAAGTATAATACAGTACAGAATGTCCTAAACCAACATGAAGAGTAGATGAGAAATTATGACTTCAAATTATGAATGCAGTTCAGTGTGTGACTAATAGACTGAGAATTTTTGTGGTTATGTCTGTCATGACAGTAAATTAGTGATAATAGCTGTGAATTGGTATTGATATTACCACTCAAACTTTCCTTGGATCAAACCTGATTGCCTACCATTCTCAGTGTTGTATGACCCCTAAAGCTTTAGTGCTTCACATGAATACAATAATTGATATCAAGTTGTCAGGATAGATACGAACCAGTAACATGACAGCAAATTACCGATAATTTTAGAAACTGTTTATGGCACTGAAACAAAAAAAAAAAATTCTAGAGCTATGTAAATCATTCAAGTCAACTCAGTGGTTTCTCCTGTAAACAGTCTAAACCTCACTTCTAAAATTGTTCTGGAGACAATCTTATTTCTGTTTGTAATTGCCTGTCTATGTATTTGAGTTTAGGAAGGGAGTTAGCTCTTGCTTTGAATATAATAATTCTAATACTAATAATAATCACTTCTGTAGCCCTCGCACTGCCTTTTTAGTTTTTCCCTTCTTTCATTTATGTTCATTTTACAATGGAATATTAGAGCAAAGTATATATATACAGTACTGTACTTCATTCATGGCCCTTCTTTAACATGCCCTGGTGCCCTACTTTATAAGTTTTCTTTAATGTATAAACTCTTGGATGTCTGAACAAAACACTCATTGTACCAATTTTTACATTCCTCCTTTCCCACATTAGATCACCCTTCATGCTTCTGCCCCTTTTACTATGCAGCACTCTGGAACCCATGTGGGTTTAGCACTTATTTAGAACACGTGTATATACAGTAGTCCCTACAGATTTGCAGGGCTTGTGTTTCTAACATTCCTCAGGTGTTGGTATTGCAAATGATATAAAATTGAGTCTGCATATCAAATTTTGTTTCACATTTAGGTAATTTTTTATGTTTTTTTTTAAATATATTGGCCATTTTCCCCATAGAAGCTGGGTGACCCAACAAGGAGGAAAACATTTTCATTGTTATTCATATCTCTATCTTTTATGTTGATTGCCCATCAGTGAAATCTTTACATAACCAAAATCCATAAATATGGAGGCCCAAGAATTTTGTAGTGCTGTCCAGTGTATGATCTTGGTAGCAATTACTTCACTACTTTTTACCATTTCAAGCACATGTTTTGACATTGATGAATTTCCCTTTTTAGTATTTTTCATTATAGATTATTCATTATTCTTCAGTTTACAAGAAACATTTGGGAGGTATCAAAAACAATTCTGAAGTCTGAGCAATTCAGTGAAAATTAATCTGTTGTCTGACTTTCCTCATACATTCCAAAATGCACCCATGCCTTGTTTTATCCACATGCCATATTTATATATTGTATATGCTGTATTTTTCTTACATTTATTTTTTATTCTGTAACTCATCAGGGGGGTGGGGGGACCTTGCATTTTTTGAAGAGTACATTTTTGCCTTTTATTTTAGTCTTAAAAATTTTCAGTAATTTACCTTTTTTTTTTTTTTTTTTTAACTCTTTCAGGGTCGAGACCTTCGATCCTGAACTCGTTCTCAGGGTAGAAAATTTTTCAAAAAAACGAAAATACTTTTACCTGTGAAACAATAGAGAATCTTTTCCTCGTGGTAATGACACCAAAAGTATGAAATTTGATGGAAAACTTAGAGAATTATGCTCTCGCGAAGTTAGTGGTCTCAATGATATATACACATTGGTGATTTTGCCCACTTTGAGCCCTATTTTTGACCAATTCCAGTGTTCCAGTTGACTAAATTCATAACTATTTCGCTAGAACTTCATTTGTTCTATCGATTGAGCACAAGAAACCTCCCATGTACTGATTTCAAGTATGCAGTAAAGTGGTCAGAAATTGGCAATTTGGGAAATTTCAAATGATGCCAATTTCAAAATAGGGTCCAGAATAAACAAGATGCATTCCTGGCACTAAAATAACATTTTCTCTGTTCATTAGTCATGTCTCCAGGCCCCTCTTGCATTTCTCTTGCTTTCCATTTTGAATTTTTATTGGAAGATTTACTTTTATGCAGACTACTGCATTATTGTAAAAATGGTATAAATAATATCAGCGCACTTGTGACTCGCCAATTGATGTGTATTGGACACCTGGCGTGATGATTTGTTTACTCTTGAACATCAGCAAAAATCGAACATTTCTGCTACTTTGAGCTCAGTTCCAAGGTACTTTTCATTGTGAAACCAATCAAAATCATCTCCATTTCTGTAATATATCTTCCATTCTATCAAATGAGACCAAGAAAACGAGAAATACAACCATAAATACCACATGAAAATACACTGCAAAGTCACTGTTTTAAACCAAAAATACGGCCTGAGTTTTTTTTTTCTCTTGCACTGTACTGCAGGATTTTTTTTTATTCTGCACACACTGACCACACAAATCCATTCTTTCATATGTAGGCCTACCAGCTTTCTCTCGCTAGATTTGAAGGCTCTAAAGCGAATTTACACGTTCAAGTATGGCACCAACCCTGGCTTTCAAGCCATACAAGTACAGCATTGACCTTGAAACGGTTAAGCATTTCCAACTATTGTTATGACCAATAACATTGAGAAGTCAGTAGGTGCCTCAAAGTCATTACTTTCTGAGGCACAGTACGAGAATTGAACAGATGATAATGTTTAATAAATATGAGAAAATAGTAAGTACACCTTGAAAATTGTTATCCTGTATTATAGAGCTCATAAATTAGCTTGATCATCAATTCAGTATTGCATACAGATGTTTTTGTACAATATCAAGCCTTGTTGATGAACTATGTTGTATATAATGTACACTTTGGCTTGATAAATACTATTACATTCAGCCGTCAATAATTTGCAAGGCTTTCTTAATATTTTGCCCCTTGTTAAAAAAAACACTCTTTACACAATTCCACTTTTATCATAGTTTTTATAATTACCAGGATGGCTGTAGGGACCCTGGAGATCTTTCAGGCGAGTCTTTTGACATTAATAATGTAATTCAGGTTATTTTAACTTAGTATGATATTTATTTGTATTGAACATTTTTTCATGTTTATAGTATTTATTTTTTGTTTATTGTGAATGCATTTTACATAATTTATACTGCTAAAAGTACTTATTGGCCTACATGGTCAAGCACTCTAAATATTGTTACTATTACTATTTACACCATCTTCAGCTTATACATTATTTTTTGTGACTCTTTGAGGGTCCAAGCCATAGATCTATGCCATGTCCACAGGATCCAAGCTGTAGTTCTGTGCCATGAGCTCAGCTCACTCAGATAAGCTGTGAGCAGTAAATTTGGACCTAGATATAAGAGAATGGATCCATGTGGTAAGTGTGCACCATATACATAAATCCTGCAGCACACTGCATTAGAAAAAAAATGCGACCGTGTGTTTGGATTAAAACACTGACTTTGTGGTGTATTTTCACATGGTTTTTACAGTTGTTTTTGCGGTTTCGTGATCTCATTTGATAAAATGGAAGATGTATTACAGAAATATAGATTTTGATTGGTTGTAGTACTGAAGATAGCTTGAAATTGAGCTCAAAGTAGCGGAAATGTTCGAGTAAACAAATGACATCATGCATCCAATACACGTCAACTGGTGGGTCTAATATATATTCACACGTGCTGATATTATTTATACAATTATTACAATATTGCATAACAGTAAATCTTCAATTTTTTGGTGTGAATAAAAATTCTGTATGTAAATAAAAAATTAAAATGGAATTCATCTGTAACACTTGGAAACGTAACTAGTAAACAGAGGAAATGTTATTTTAGTGCCAGGAATGCCTGCATTGTTTATTCTGAACCCTATTTTGAACTTTGTGAAATTGGCCAAATTACCAATTTCTGATCACTTTTATTGGGTAGTTGAAATAGTTGATTGGGCAGTTTCTTGTGCTCAGTCAATAAAATAGTAGTAATACTAGCAAAATAGCTAAGAATTTGGGCCACTGGAATAATGTAATTCGCCTAAAATAGGAGTCAAATTGGGCAAAATCGCTGACAGTAAAATTCGCAATAGTGTAATTTCATCAATTTTCCATAAAATTTCTTACTTTTTTTTACTACCTTCAGAAAAAGATTCTCTACCATTTCATAAGAATTTTTTTTTTTTGTGGGGGGGGGGGGAATTCTTGAACCCTGTGGAGAAAGTGTAGATCTACAGTTCAGGCCCTCAACGGGTTTAGTTTCCAGTGGTTGTAACTCGGTCTCCTCTGAGCTCCAATCCCAGCAGTGAAGAAAATAGTGTTTTATTCCACCATTTTTCATAATTTGAAACTGCTGTCTCCTGTTTATTATGATAGATCTTCTGGATTTACTTTCAAGTCAGAATTTAGTATACACCCTATACATAAGAAGTCCATGTTCTGAGAGAATGAAGGGAATAGTGTGGAAACATTGTGTTGACACCCTTGTTTAGTGGTGGGCCTACTATCTAATCCTGGTAGAATTGTACTTAGGTATATTTTCCTGTAAAGAATATAGTTGTAATTTTGCATAGAGCAATGTGACTTGACAAGAATGCTGCATAGTAGAGGGTAAGAAATTCTTGGGTCAGCCTAAAAGCTGTCCTATGCCAGTTGTATCGTGGGACACCTTCACCATCTTTCTTTTTCGTGATTTGGTTGTATCCTGGATTAGCCAGATCTAATGCTATCTTTAGTATCAAATGCCTTCTTGTGGTCTTCAGAAAATTCAGTCCATCCAGCCTTCTTCGTTTTACTTTTGTTAGTGTCGTAGAATTCTAAGAAGTTGGTAAGACAAGACATGCATTCTCTTAACTGGTGCTGGTTATTGTTTATGAAACTTCTCTTCATGTGTTCTATCACTCCTGATTATCTTCTCCATTATCTTGCATTAATGTGCATGTCAGTGAAACTGATCTGTAGTTTAATGCTTCCTCTCGGTCTCCTTTCTTATATATATAGGGTCATCATGTATCATCTTACAGATATCTGGCAACTGTCATGCATCCATTGGCTTGATCATTGCTAGTGGCTCAGTGTGTTTCTGCACCCTCTCACAGACTCCGTGGTGAGACCTTGCTGGGTCCCATTGCCTTTGATGTATTCAGCCCCAGTACCTGTCAGAGCAGACTTCCTTATTTTCCCTAGCCACTGCCAATAACTTAGCCCTCCATGTTTCCAGTACCTCATGTGGGTCCTGGCTCTCCCATCTATTTCTGGGTGGTTGAAATCACCCGTGATACATAACTTTCCTTTAGCTCTATGTACACTTCTGACTGCTTCATTTATGGTGTCAATCATTACTGTTGTTGTTGTCTTCATATTCCAGTGTCCTACTTTTATAGATCACTGCAACTACTACTATGAGTTTCCCAGTCTTAAGCCCACTATGTAGTTGCCTGTCAGGTATCTGATGATTCCATCCATCTCTTCAAAACGCCACTGAAATCTGATTAGCAGTGAAATTCCTCTGCCTCCGCTATTTCCTCTTTCTATTTTAATCACTTTGATATCCTAAGAATATCGCATCTGATATTTCAGTTGTCTTTGTGATAGCTGTGATGTCTGGGGTTACCTCTGCTATTCATTTTTTTAACTGTCTTTTTATTTGTTAACCCATCTGCATTTGTGTACTTCAAGCCGAGCCTTCTTTTCCTTGCTATACACTGGTTTGTCACGTAGTCATTCTGCATGTTGCTCATCTGACTGAAGTGGGGAAGGTAGGGCTAGGATAGTGTGTGCATCATTGGAGAGGGGAGGGATCAGCAATAAGGTTGCGAGGATAAGGGAAAAGGGTGGGAGGGGGAGCAAGTTAAGTTGGACCCTCCAGGAAAGGGGCTAGGGTGCATCTCAAGGAGTTCCTCGAGACTGGGTGTTCTCTCCTGCGTCCTTGTCTGCTACTCTTCTCTGTACCTGATGGGGTTTTGCATATGCCTTCAACTGTTCCCTCTCCGCTACTGTTCTGTCCCGATCTGGGTACAGTGTATACTACTGGATCGGGACAGAAGTGTAAGGGAGTGAGGACTTCTTGTGCTGATACGAGACCAACACCTACTGATGCAGTTTGGATATCAAATAGAAATGCTAAGATACCTCCTAAGATACCTCCACCATCTGAGGGGTGAAATGAAGTACTGTACATCCTTGATGGCTCCTCACTACTCCAATGACTGTCATGGCCACATGATGATACATCTGATTCTGTCTGCAAGATGTATGTTCAGTATGTTACTAGAAAGTACAAATCTATTGTAATTGTTTTTTGATGGATGTTGAATCAGTCCCGTGAAGGATGTAATATGTCTTTGTCGAACAAGAGAATTTACCACTCTAATTTTTTATTATTATTATTAACACATTGGCTGATTCCCACCAAGGTAGGGTGGCCTGAAAAAGAAAAATTTTCATCTTATTTTTGTACAGGCTTCAAAGAATTAATCATAAGTTATTTACTGGGTTATATTTTATATATAACTTTCAAACATGTTTACATTTTCTTGCTTTTTTACACAAAGAACTTACATTGGGTCCACAGCAACGTGCTCAGAAATTGCACATAATTCCTGTGCCTGCCGTCAACACTGCAAAATTTCCTAACACTTTTTATTAAAGCGGTAATAAATCCATATAGCACAGTTTGACACTACACCATATTAGAGCAGAATGAATAATTAGATGAGCTGTGTGCCTAATTCCCACACTAAGGATTGAACTTGGATAAATAGATCAGCAATGTTCACTACTAGGATATGCCAGAGTGTAATGGTGTTTGTTTATGTTACCTTGGACCTGGTGCACCTGTTTTATGCCTGATGGATTATATGTAGCCAGGTTTATTAAATGCAGTACTGTATAAAAATAAAACTTTTTTATCAGTGTAATATACCAACTATATTCACTAATTAATTATCAGGTATGTCTGAAATGTTTTGACTAAAAAAACAACATAATGGATAATGTAACTGTTATAACTAAGTGATAGTAAACAACCATTATATACCAGTATACCTTAACCTTTGTAACTCTTCCACTAACACAGCACCCTCTCAAACATCCTAAATAGCATGGAAACATTTATGAAATAGTCAAGCCATTTCATTGTCTCAGGTCTTATTCAAAGTATAGTACATATATACTGTAATTTTTTTTTTTACCCTGAAAATTTTTAAAGTACTGTACTCTTTAGAAAAATAATAACTCATCAAAACTGTTTGCTTCTAGACATTTAAGAATGTTACATTCTTTAGAACCACCTGATTCCAGTCTAGAAAAAAATAAACAAACTTTCTTAAACTATGAATACACAGTACAGTTAAACCTCAATTTCATAGATTTCAGGAAAACTGCTGAGTAAAATAATCTTGAAAAAGACAAAGTCCACTGGTAACAGAACTGTCCATTATTACGATTTGCTGGGTAAATTGATCTTGAAAACGGTGGACAAGGTTCATTAGTAACAGAATTGTCAATTATTCAAATGCAGTAAAACAATCTCGTTATTCACGTGTGCAGGACACCCTCTTCCTCCCCTTCCTTCCTTCCTTGAAGTTTCACTGTACAGTATGCACATTTTATGGCAGGCATTCATTAAAAATTATATATATAACCATAAGATGTAAATTTCTCTGAAACTAAAAGTTTTAAAATGGTCTATACAAATCATTCCATAAAGCAAAACATGTTCAAATTACAATTATTTTAAACTTATCTAAAGCATAGAGGCAAGAGTGTACACCATAAAAATATTGGCTTGAAATGTACAAGGAACTATTGATCTTGTACAGTATCATTGAATTTTAACCTTTTGTGCTTCCAGGGTGATTCAGTAAATTACAGTACTCTGCTTCAATGTAAATACAATACAACTAATATCTAATAAGAATTTTAATGTTTTCAGATTTAGCTCTTAAATATACACAGGTATGCTAGGCATAAACAGTGTATTATAAAATATATATTAATATTAAAATGATAATGACAAGTCTCTTGTGGTCATGTGGGTGTTCCTGTCAAACTGGAAAACAAGAAATAAAAGCATATGCTTTTCAAACTTCATGAGTCTATAATCAGAGAAAGATACGGTAAGTGTGCTCAGGGAAAACATACCATATCTATGGCAATGGAAAAAATAATAAAATATTGAATAGATAAGTACCATTATCAACAAAGAAAGAATTACTGTATACTTGCTACGTGGTGTGCACAAAACTGGTATGCCATGCTACCCATAATTAGTCTTTCCCTGAGCACACCTAAAACAGTCAAGTACTGATGACAAACCAAGAGGTTTGAAAACCTTGTGCCACCTTATGTTTTGCAGCTAGTGATTGGAACGTTTGTTCAAATTTACTGTTTTCTCTATTTTTTTTATTAAATGCAATGATAAGTTTTGTATGTCCACTTCATGTATGTGTTAGGCTCTCATTTGTTTTAATACAAATTAGTCAAAATTTTAAAATCCATTTTCCATGAGCTAAACTTCAGAATTTATTTTTTCTCCAGTTTTTAACCCTTAAACTGTCCAAGCAGATCTTTCACATGTGTAGTGCTCCAAAAGTAGTTTTCCTTGTTTTTTTTACTTATTTTCAAATATAACAAAAAAAAAAAGTAATCAAAGTTTTTTTTACACGTTTTCAAATGTAACAAAAGAAAAGATCTACTTTTTTTTTTACATACTTTCAAATGTTGAAAAAACGTAGATCTATGTTTGGACAGTTTAAGGGTTAATAGAATATACATTTTTTTTTATTGTACAGTATATATTTTTAAGTACCTATATGTATGATTGGCTTGTACTTTTTTTTTTTTGTCAGATTTGTATTAAGGCCCTGGTAGCCCACCTGGAACACCAATACACTTTGACAGACCATACTCACTTCTAGCCCCAGCAGGGTCTCTCTCTCTCTCTCTCTCTCAGTAATAGCTTCCTGTGCTGCAAGTCTCTTGCAGTTTGGCAGTTCAGTTTCATTTTTTTATTTGATGATAAATTAACTCGTCTAGCAGTTCCCCACTGCGACTGTTTATTTTGGATAATTTTACTTAGTAATCAAGGATACATTAAGGTATACATTTGCTTATCCTTCTCCAATGCCTTTTGAAAATATAGTGCATGCTAAATGAGGGGATTACTGTTCAGGCAAATTTCATAATAAGTAAGGATCAGGTTCCTGGATAATTGGAGTTTTCGTATGTCCAAATTATATAAGTGTATTTTGTCCATATCTGACCCTAGTAGGTTTAGCACTGTTTTGATTATTATAATAATTATTTGCCCTTATTTCTGTAAATATTGTTCTAATTCTTAAAAAAAAAAAAAAAAATTAGCACATTTTAAATAAAATCCTTTGGCATTTTATCAGTGTAGGGATCACATGCCAAGCTGAAAGACAATGGGCACCAAGATAAAACACTTCAGTAATCAAAGCTATCAGCACAATAACCTTCAGTATAATCAAATCACATGGATTAAGCAGCTCATGAATCCCAGGATTTGACTGGATTCAATTTTTTCTCAGGATTGGAGAGTGTACTGATTTACAGTACAGTATATTATCAAATACAGTGGTACCCTGAGTTTCGGCCACCTCCCAACTCAAACAGTTATGTAGGTGTATTATTGTATGTGCTTTTGTAAGTGTGTTTTTGGTGTTTTTGGGGGTCTGAAATGAACTAATCTAATTTTCATTATTCCTTATGGGAACAAATTCATTCGGTAATGGCACTCGAACAGCCTTCTGGAATGAATTATGGCCAAAACTCGGGGTTCCACTGTACAATGTTTTAGTCAAACTAGATTAAAATAATATTTACAGAATACATGTAGCCAAATAACCCTCAGTTATTGGCCCCTATGGTTTTCTTTTCTCAAATAAATTTACTATTAGAGCAATGGTATATTCACAAGGATAAACATATGGTATACACATTTAAATTTTCACCTTGCCAGAATTTATAACCAATTAAAGCTTAATACTGTCCAACATGCATAGGAGTAGCCTAAATTCTGTTAATATCATTTATGAATCTGATACTGCATTTTTAATTCATATACTTATTTTTTTTTTTGCAGTTATGGGCACAATGATCCTTACAAGTTCTAGCTAAAATTTTAAGCTGTGATATAGAAAATATAGGTCAGATTGATAAAAGGTTGAAGAGGCTGACTGAACATACTCAAACTAACTGCTGTTTATCGGAATGTCCAAGTTGTGAATCTCGGTACAGATACATTTTGATGGGAAGAACTGAAATAATCAACCACAAAAATTAGAGCTATTAAGGAAACATTGTCTATGATAAAATCTATTCCTAATTTTGCAAGTTGAGGACACATGAAGACCTGACATCCTCACAAAGGCAGTCTTTAAGAATGATAATTGAATGGTAATCAACTTTTGACAAGTAGTATAGGTAATTTTCAGAGCAAGAATGATTAGGGATTATACAGTCAAGGTTTAAGTGAGGGAAGCAATGATACATACAGCTGATGTCATAACAAGGGTCAGTCATGCAAGTGATATCACTTCTATGGGATTATCACAATGAGATTAAAATAACTGTTAAATTTTAAAAATTCCATGTTTTGAGCAATGAACAGAATATTTTTGTAAAAGAACAAATATTGATAATGTAGTCTTGTAATTGGTAAGGATTTCTCGCAAAATCATAACATGATTTTGGGTTCAAGCCCCACCCATTCTGTGATTTTTTTGCAATTACAGTGGTACCTCAGGATACGAACAGCTCAAAACTCTAACAATTATGTAATTGCTTTTGTAAGTATTTTTGGGGGGTCTGAAAAGGGTTAATATAATTTACATTATTCCTTAAATTCATTCGGTATCGGCACTCGAACAGCCTTCTGGAGCGAAATAAATTCATATCCCGAGGTACCACTGTATTTTATTACAATTTCACGAGTGATAGCGGCTACAAGGAGACTGAGCTAGAACACGCCAGAGCCACATTAGTATGAAATTTGCATGTAAAAAAACCTGCATTTGTGGTCAAAGTGGGGCCCCTGTTAACCTCCCTGTGGTGTACAGAAATATACATAGTTGGATGATTATTAGGCCAGTATGGTCCAGTGGATAGCACACTGGCCTGCAAGTTTTAGGACTAGTTTGTTGTGTCATGGGTTTGAACTCCTCCTGTTCTGTGATTTGCTCGATATGGATTATATTTTGGTCCTGGTTTCTACAAACGTTAATCATTCATTGTGTTGAACGTGAATGATGTGCCAAGCAGTTAAGCTTGCCACATCCTCTCCTTCCTAGGATCAAGTCTGGTTGTCCCCACCCCACCTGTTTGCATCACACACTGCCTCATGTACTTTGCCCAGGATTTTGACTTATGGCATTTGAGTGACCAATTCTTCATTATTTATTACACCTTATGAACAGTCTCCATTCTCTTCAGTTATGCACTTTTTACTGTATAGTCCTTGTGGCTTAGCGCTTCTTTTTGATTATAATAATAATAATATGCACTTTTTATTGATTTGTAGGTTTTAACAGTGAATTTTGTATTCTAACATGTGAACTGCATCTTGGGAGATTTTTTTTTCAGTTTTCCTGAAACTACAAGTCTCTAAAAATATGTGTTATTATCAAATAAAGCACTAAACTGACAAGGGTCATGCAGCTTTACAGGGCAGAAAATGGTGCCGGGGCTATAAACAGCTAGGTAGAAAGGTAAGGGTAAGGGTGGTAAGAGTAGAAAATGGCTGAAAGGGACGAGAGGCCCATGCCTTGCATGGGCCAGTATGCCTGCTGCAGTGTTCCTTATACGTATTTTTATGTGTCAAAGTTTGTATAGTAAAGCAGTTGCTGACAAAAAGTAAAAAAGTGATCATAAGTCATAGGCAGGGCTGTCAGCAAGAAGGGAAGATAAGGCAAGAGTGGTAGGGTGGTGGTATCGGAGGTAAATCTTGCAAGCTCGCTGGTAAACTGGGCAATACACAAGAAAGTGAAGAACTGAAATTGGGACCCGATAAACCTCAGAGGAATAGGGTGTCGTTCCACAAGATACCCATGGGTAAGGCGAATATGGCCAATGCGGAGATGGGAGAGTGCAGTCTCCCAGGAACGACAATGGTGGTAAGATGACCACAAAACTAAAAGTGGTTTAATAGATTATTATTATTATAATCAAAAAGAAGCGCTAAGCCACAAGGACTATACAGCGCTGCAGGGCAGGAAGGAAGCGAGGGCATCAGGTGGCAAAAGGGAGATGGATGAGTAATAGGTTACGGATAACAGCGGGGCAGTGGATGGTGAAAGGGTAAAGGGCAGCAAGAGACTGAATTAGAAAGGGCTGAGGGGAGTGCGAAAAGTATCATCAGAGTTTGTGGAGTAAATCAGTCGTTGTCAAGAAGTCAATGAGAGAGTCAGGATTAAAGGAGGGTCCATCAGCAAGAAGGGAAGGTAAAGAGAGAGTAGTAGAACGAAGACGACGTTGGAGGTAAATTCTGCGTGCTCGTTGATAGAGAGGGCAGTCTAACAGAATGTGGCTAAACGATACTGGAACTTGACACTGCTCACAGAGAGGAACAGGGTGCCTCTCCACGAGATACCCATGAGTAAGACGAGTGTGGCCAATGCGAAGGCGGGACAGAGTGGTCTCCCAACCTCGGCACTGATGACAAGAAGACGGCCAGTAACCTATGCTCGGTTTAATAGAATGAAGTTTGTTACCGAGCAGAGTTGACCAACGTTGTTGCCAACGGGTGCGAAGGTGGGTAGCTATTGCAGCAAAATAGTCCAGAAATGGAACACCTCGATAGGAAATCGGTAGGTCATGTACTGCTGACCTCGCAGCAGTGTCTGCCTGTTCATTGCCCTGTACGTCGACATGACCAGGGACCCAACAAAAAACAATATCTTTATGTTTGGTAGAGATACGGCGTAGCCAAAGTTGGATACGGAGAACTAGGGGATGAGATGTATCAAATTTTCGTATAGCCTGTAGAGCACTAAGGGAGTCTGAGACTACTACAAATGATGACACAGGCATAGATGCGATACGAATAAGTGCTGCAAGAATGGCATACAGTTCAGCAGTAAAAATGCTAGCTGAAGATAGTAAATGCCCCC